TTTAATTATTATTGTGGCTGATTACAATTTAAAACCACGATGGTCGCCCGAAATTGCATCCGAGCATTTTAGAATAACAATCGGAGCAGAGTAACATGAGCATTAAACAAATTAACTAAAGGTAATTAATCGTTATTACACTTTCTGAAGTTTATCTTAGAAAAGAATATTAGTGCGATGAAAACCATGTATGGCTCATCCAGGTTTTCAAGACCACAATAAAAACTCATTGATTACGTTTGCGACTTTCAGAGATGGCCAGCTCTGAATATATGCGCGCAATTGCATGTAATGAGTGGTTACTGCTCGAACAATAATCTAAGATTTATAATCTAGTATGATTTTTCGTGCAGGCACGAGCCGCAAATCCTATATTTTAGGTAAAGCGAACGCAATATTTTATATGTTTGATCAAAACGTTCCACGTCGTTGCCTTTAACGCTTTAACATTCATGATGATATAGTATTTCATTTTAACTTCTCCCTCTGGCAATAAAATGTGCTTAAGCCGATCAATTTATGCTGTTCTCTGGAGTTTATTAACAGTATTATTTACGCTATTATGCAAGTAACCATGTTTCTTTCACAGCAATAATAACAATTATAACCACAACAATAATGCGTATTTTTTTTTTTGCTTAATGGATATTTGCCGCACAAAAATATTACCCTCGAGCATATTGTTGCCGTTTTAAGTGGATGGAGGAAATAAAATAGGAAAAAAAAAAGAAAAAAACGATGGGACACAGGACTAAATAGAAGATGGAATGCAGGCTCATAGATGTCGCCATAATTTTGTTGTAACTCTATTTTCACCTTGACGTTTGTAGCGATACAAGGGGTACTTTTTCCGTTTTCCCTTCAAGTACATCGTAAAGGCGTTCTTTTAGTCGCCGGTTCCTGCGCGAGAGAAAATCATAGCAATATTATAAAAACAATATGTTTTTTGTTTTCATTTAATATTTGTGAAATACATGCACATACATATAAATAACGGCTACATATGTGGAAAAATGTTATAGTATACACATAATAAATTAAGGGAAAAGTTCCTGGCGTTTTTCCCAAATAGGCATTCTTAAACACGCGTGACTTTTATAACAGTAACGCTATGAAACCAAGCGAGCACATGTCCGGCTTAAGCCGAACCTTTCATATAATATATTGTTTTCATCTTAAAAAAAAAAAAAGGCAAAAGTAAGGAAACTTCGATACCCTCTATTATCAGTTTAGCGTGGGTGTTTTTATTCATTTCCGTATAGATAGCGTGGGATCTGTAGGTGATCTTAACTAAGGTTCTATCTTTTGCAGTGAGCAATGACCACTTTTTGTTAATGTTGTAGGTTTTGACCGATGTGCCATAATTTCAATATCAATCTGTTTGCAACAGTTTCTAACATGAACAGAAGGACGGTCAAACATGCGTAGAGCAGTTTAAAATTTCCTGCTGCTCAGAGTTTCGAAAGGGCCAATCCCTACGAAATATATAATCCAATAGCCGGACTCTTAATTAACATCAAGGACTCCATCTCAAACTTTGGATGTTTGTGGGAAAAGCAGTGAAAGCTTCCGAATTATTACAATGTTTCTAATTCTAACTAAACATAAACACCCCCTAGAGACATTTGTTAGCGTATTAGATATCTATCTATCTGACTATCCGGGGAGTTTCATTTGATTCAAACAGTCTTCCCGGAGAGGTCGAGAAAAAGCCAGAAAGTTTATGAAAACAATTTGTTTCAGGTGGTAACTTCTTTTTCGGTGCATTCGTGAAAGTGCAACAATTCGGAAAACCTCGCTTTGGCCTCTCTCTTAATCCCCTAATACTATTCAAAGCGATTACAAGTTTGCATAACTAATGGTAAAGTTAATTGCACGCAGAAGTAATTGAGTTATGCCATCCAAATTTATATTAGATAGTAAGCCGATAGCCTTAGATGCTAGTGCTTTCAAGAGCTTAGTCTTAGAATTTATTTCTCTGGCGAAATTAATAATAATGAAAATAATAATAATATCTTAGATAGAATAAATATGATAGATATTTCTATCTGTCTGAGAGGGCGAGTAGGCAAAGCATCTCGACTAACGATTCAAGGGTCGTGGGCTCAAATCTCAAGTGCGGCGGAGTTTTCAATAAAACTGATAGTCTTAAAAGCTTGTGCTTTACGACTTAAGTCTTGCAATTATTTCAAAACTTCCAAAAGTGATCTAATGCTCCCTTCTGTACAAAGAACATACGTATTTGCGGTGCTAGTGGTAAAGGCGGGCAGCTATTTTTTCAAAATGACAGAAGGAGGAAATCCTTTTTCGGAACCATAAACCTATTGCTTTTTTTTTCGTTTTGAGGAAAGTGCGTCAAGTAGGCAAATATACTGGGAAGAAAAAAGCCTTCCAAATATTTCTTCTTTTTCATACAACTCTTAAGACAAATAAGCGCATTTTCATTTTTTATTTTTTTTTTCACAATCGTTTTACTAAGCAACAATCTACACATCTGTTTAGCTGCTTTAGAATGAGTGCGATTTAAACGTTCGCACTGCATATTTTTATGAGTTTTCTAGTTGAAAGTCATCTACATTAACAGAAATTTATGCTAATTATGCACAACATTTTTAATATTTTTTTCGCTTCGCTCCGTTTTTAGGGCATCCATATAGTACGATATCTAGGCTTGACTATCCAATGTATTTCAGATGCCCCTAAAAACCGAAAGTCGACCAAACATACACATTCAGATAAATTTGTGACATTAACGTAGTATGTGCAGAGAACAATCGTTTGAAAGTAAACCGCATACACACTGCATTTTTACTAATGAGCGCGTCTTAATTCTTACTAATCCTGTCCTTGGGACTCGATTCAATTGAGTATTTCACAACTTGCAGCGGCAATCAAGCACTTGGGCTTTAACCCGGTCAGTGACCATGTTGCAGTTGCTGCAAATCCCTTTCAATGACCAGACAATTTGTTAAGGATTTTTGACTTGAATTTCGTTATTAATATGAATAGCTGTGTATCGCTTGTGTATGCGATATGCTTGGCTCTTAATTTATAAAATTTGCCTTAGTGACGAATAATTTGCATAAAATAAAACGATAATTATTCCGGTTTTTGGCAACATTCAACAGGTTTATGATGTTGCTGTTGTCAACACATTATTTAGATATGAAATCTAAATTGTAGGCGCAAAACCGCTTATCGACATACATATGCACGCTTTTAGATTTCTGCATGGAAAGCAGCTTTCGGGCAAATACATTGTATGCATTGATGAAAATAAATACAAGAAAAAGTCTGCGTCCAGATTTATTCAGTTTGTTGCCATTGGCTTAATGTGTATATATATATATTTTTTTTAATATGACCAATAACTCAAGGGATGTCTCCTATTCATGTAACATGGTGTCGGTGAGGAAGAAGTAAAGAATGGGGGAAAAAGAGAAAAGATAGCCGCAGCTTGATGGATGCATGCCAAATTGGTAAATGTTATACCTTAATGGACTGAGCACTCACTTAAAACGAAACTCAACTCTATCGTATTGAGGTTTGTATTCGCGGATACTGACTTAGTACTTTTATGGATATGATAGATGAGCTATTTAGAAAAGGAAAGCCGATGTGACAATATGAAGTCGAGCAAGATATTCTCATGATCTCTTACTAACCACAACCGTTGTGTTACAATGTTCACCTAAACAAAGTAATAATATCCAATTAGCTCTTTTACACTTCATCAAAGTGAAGGCTTCCATTACAGGATGATTTGTTCTTTTTTTAGAAGTAGATTAGAGAACAACAACGGCACTCCTTAAAAAAGAATTATTTATTTATAAAATTTCAGGAATATAATCAGGGCTCTCGATCCACATGTAGACTGGTCGATAGGTAACGAAGAACGGATTAAGCATAGAGCCAATCTGGTTGCGGCAGTACGGAAGGGACATAGTATTTGCTAAATTCAAAGAGAGCTACGCTTTTGATGCAATTGTAAGATCAGTGCGCTTTGCAAGCTTTAAATCGGAGCTGGGATGGTGGCAATTAAGGCCATTATACTTTGCAATTCAATCGAATCAATAGATAACGTGCTAAAATACTTGAAAGAATTGGTTAGATCGATGAACACGTTTGGATAAAATCAAAAAATTGCGCTCTTATAAGATCTACAAGGAGGATCTACAAGAAAGTTTGCGCATGTGACGTACAGAATGACAAAATTCAAATCTCAACCACTTGGTTGAGAAAGAAGAAAGAAAAAATAATACATCGTTCACAAATATAGCGTGTCAAAGTTAAGGTGTTAGACGGATCGAAGGTCAGATCATACAAGTTTCGTCCAGGGTGAAAGATTGAACAAAATTTTTAAAGATTATGAGCGACATTTTAATTAAAAACTTAGTTAAAACCAATAAATAATTAATAAATAAAGTAAGCAGATTGTTAAGCCAATCAAAACCCTTATCAATCATCATATCTGTTTTCAATTCTTGATTAAACAATAATTTTTCAAAAATGTGTTGACGAACGAAAAACAAAGAATCTTCAAATATTCGTTGTTCCGAACTTTTGCGTTACTCATCATTGGCTCATATTAAATGAGAGCAGAGGTGTCTGCACTTGATATTGTATGTACGTAGTATTGTATTTATTATACATATATTTATGTATTTTTCAAGAACTTTCTCTTTGAAATGAAACTAAGGAATAGTGGCCAAAATTTCAAGTTCTCTCTAAATTTTTGAGAATTATAAAAAGAATCAAATTGATAGATCAATGAGTGGATAACCGTAATAAAAATTTACTCCGGTGCACGACTAAATCAATTAAATTGACTGTATCGATGATTATAAACATCATCGGGCTTATTATGCATATATATATGTTTTAGAGAGAGGAGCCAATTGTGAATTGTTATGTGAAATTAATTGTTGTTGTTGTTTATATAAATAAAAAAAGATGATACTTTTCTTTCTTAAGAAATGTTTGTTTTTAAAAAAGGATATGGATTCGTGATGAGTCTTAGACACCAATTCCTTGGCCTGGTATCCTGGGTTAAGTATTTCAGAGCGATCGCAGGGAAGCCAGGATAAGGCAGATTCGGCTCGCCAGAAGATGTCGACGATTCACCATCGTCCGAACTACAGGAACCATTGCAACTCGAAGGCGACGACGTGCCAGTGGCTGTGGAAGAATCTGAAGATATCTGTCTAGACTCATCCTGTAAACTCGACCGCCTCGTTCTGCGCCGCCTTTGGCGTGTATTACCAATATTTTGTGATGGTGACACGCGTAACTCTTCGCTATTTGAATGATGTTCAGATTTCTTACTTTCTGTCCCCGTCTCCTTTTGAGAATTCCCAGATTGTTGGCGGGTAAGTGATGATCGACGCGAGCGTTTTCTCGTTGCACTGCTAGGTCGCTGATTAGTAGTTGTGGTATTTGTTGAAGTTGTCGTTATAGTAGTAGGTCCTTGACTTGCGGCGGAGCTATTGTTTGACTCTATCTTATTACTAGTAGGATATTTTTCAACAGTTGTTATTGTTGTTGCTGCTGCTGATGTTGCGGCAGCTGTTTCAATTATTTGTTTGGCACTTGAGGAACTAAGTTTCCGATGGCTGGGGACATCGTTGTTGTTACCTTTCCGCAACCATTGCTCGTTATTTTTATTTACCACTACCGTTAGCGGATCGTCATTGGAATGCATTCTACAGTTGATAGGATTATCGCCATTAGAGTGATGTTTTAGTTTTGATGATGCTTGAACACTGTTACGGTGTCCATTGCTGGCGCTATTGCTAATCTTAAACGGTAACAAACCCGATTCCGAATCTTTTTTGTGCATATCTCCCCACCCTCTTCCTCCCTGTCCTCTTCCAAGTCGGCCATAATCATTACGATAGGATTGCAAAGTTTGATTCTCTAAATGCTTTACCGCCAATGAACGGATGTCAATAGTTTGACAATTATCACTGATAAATTGCTTTACTGGTAAACCAGTTGTGGACAATTTTCTAGAATTTTCATTTTGCTCCTGCTTGGAGGAATTCAACATTTTACGAGCAACCTGTCTTCTTCCGTTCAACAATCTTTCCGTCTTCCTTTACTAATTAACATTTGATTTTTTCCACTTCAATTACGTCTTATCCTTTAAAACAGATTTTTTGTTTAAGCAAATTTTTTTTTTCCTTGATGCAAAATTGCTTCTATAATTTACCAGCTGTTGTTATTCTCCGCCCTCATGCACTTTGCACCCGCAGCACCGTTCGCACCAAATGTCATTTGGTGACTTCTGTTGCTCTCAAAGTAAATCGCAATATGTGCATTTTTTTCTTCACCACTCTTTTCGACCAAGTTCTCGGAAACAATATCTGAAACCGAAGGAAATGGAAACAAAATTATAATCAAGCAATTTTTCTTGCAGAAAGAAAACAAATATATAGGTCACTTACAAATATACATAGATATTAAATGAGATCATGTTCAAGAGTGACGACGATAAACGAGGAAAGGTATTTATTCGTTATGATGAAAAAATATTAACCGCTATTGGCAGTTTCTTGTATAAGTGAATAAAAAAGATGAAAAAGACAAGTTCCAAGCGAAGTAGGCACAAAATTTTGACATTACTTTACCCGTAAAAAATGCAAACATTTTTCAAACTTTTAAATATAAAAAAAAAAAATTTTGTTATATAAAACACAGAACAAATCAAATCTCTGAATGCTTTGGCTTAAAAAAAAAAAAAAAAAATATATAGGCTTCTTTTCTCTTTTGAGTAACCAAAACATCCTTTGTCATAATGTCCTTGCTTATATTTTCCGTAATAAAAACTTTCTTTTTTATTTTTTTTATCCTTGAATTAATGAGGAATAATGAAAATTCTTTGTCATAAAAATTTCCCTTATTCCGTAGTCTATTGAAGATTAACCAAAAATTCAATATAACTTTCCAGTCTAGTCGGCGAAGGCTAATATTATATCTGAAACAGGTTGAAAAAAATACGTCATCCACATTGGTCCTCAAATGTTAATTTTACTCGAGTTCAAAAAACATTTACGCAAACTTTCAACTCGAGGTACGCTCGGAGTGATAAGTTATCGATAAATTATTTCGAGCCCGTCGAGTATTTTCGTTATAGTGCCGATGAGCAAGAGCGGCGAAGACTACATTTTTTGCACATTTGAGCATTTCCTCCCTGTAAGTGATCGCCAACAGTCATGTTTCATAGTATCACAATAGTCAAAAAAATGTTACATAATGTATACCCTGAGAAAAGATGCTTTTTCATCTGCTTCTAGGCGTTAACATTGTGCGCGGTATATGTCTAATACTCTATAAGTTATTCAATGTTCTTTCATTTAACGTAAGATTATTATAATAATGCTTTGAATTGTTGGTCTTTGGTTTGCCTTGGTTTTATTTTTTTTTTTATATTTTCTTTTCCTTTTTAAAAAATTTTTGTTATTTTTTTCTCTTTTTTCTTCTCTATTTTGCCCTTTTAATCTAATTCTATGAACAGCAAGGCCCGCTTAGCCATTTTACCATTGTATTAGTGTACCAAGAGCTATTATTTTATAAATATATAATTTTAAATAGTTAAAGATTAAATAAAAATAATTAAAATAATGATGATTAAAATATATAATATAATTCAGGTTAAGCGATCTCTCTTCACATACAACCCCGACTTAAAAATTCGACTCACTACTTCAACTTTGTACGAACGATCTAGCTCGGCGAATCTGTTAAGTTTTCCCGCTTACTGCTATTTTCTCTTTTCTTTATTTGCGATTTCGAACACAGACGCTTTGTCCGGTCAGTGTTGTCAACTATTTATCTTATTATCCCCATCCCCCTCATAATATATATATATGTATATATATATATACGTGTATAATATAACAATAACATGTTCATTTGTTATAAAGGCAAAGTAATGATAGAAGAGTTACTACATCGTCTTTTTATGCGCCCTTCGAGGGGCTATATGTATTGCTAATCATCGTAAATGCTTGGAACGATTCGATCATGTCCATTCGTCTCTCTGCTGTTTTCCTTGTTGTCGTTGTTTTTACCAAGTGAAAACCTTCTTAGTTGATGGGAATAATCCAAGTTCACGAATAAGCATAATCACACACATACCAAAACTAGGTCCACCGTACACAGTGAAAGTGCAATTTAGCGTCAATTAGTGATGTCAACGTAAAGTCCGCCCTAAACTCTTCTTAAGGCCAAAATAAAGACTGTTAATATTGATCCGAGTTCCTAAGTTGAATATAACTTTCTTACTCAATACAAATAATTAATTATTAATACATAAGTCCAAAGATTACAGTTTGGTAACATCGATCATTACATTTTTTACGCAATTTCGGAAAGAGGTCGTCACCATTAGTCACCATTATATATATGGAGATTGACTAAATTCAACCCCCTCTTAATTTTCGAACGAGCGCATGTCTTTGTAATAAATTTTATTGAAATATCGCAAAAATTGGTTAAACAAATACTTGAATAGATATCGAGCACATAGACCAGGAAACGGACTTGAAAGTTTAGAAGTCGTTTTTGAATCGAGTGATGCGCTAAAAGGTGAGTCAATCTTACGGTAAGTTGTTCTGGTTGTTGCCTACATCCGCTCCTCTCACAAATGCTGTAACGTGTACAAACTATGGAAATTGTTATAATGAATTGTCGAATGTCAACTGTAGAGCAAAAAGTAAGTCATATAAGAAAGCTTTGGACAAATCTTTGGCATAATATATCCTCCGCAACAAGCGCACACGTTTTCAAGCCTTTATTCAAATGTGAAATCAATGTGTGCTATCTCTGGACGGCAGGTGCCATTAAAAATATATACAATAATTTAATAAATGGAAATACTAATAACTCAATAAAGTGTCAATAATGATGATAATTATTGCAATTTATAAATCTTTACTTACGTCAGTACGTATAATTAAAAAGAAAAAAGAGAAAGGGAAAGGAGTTTCATCTAAGTGAAGAAACTAGTTTGGAAAACCGAAACGAAACCTAATTAAATCAAAACAAAGTTTGCTCTCAACGGAGAGTAACGGTTAGAATTTTTTATACACAGATGGCTAAAAATCGTCCGGGCTGCCACCAGCTTGTGCCGTGGTAGATGCTTCGTCTCTATCACTAATTTCGCGAAAGTGCTTCAATTTTCACAACCGAAGCCAGAGCTATCTGTCACGCTGCAAACTTTTCCCATAAGAACAAACTCAAAACCGTCATTGTTACTGTTTTAAAGGCTATACGTAATCCTTCGACTTTGCAATTAAGGAATGTCATTGCAACAGCCGCCGAAAAAATTAAAATGCTTTGGGTACGGCGGCATATCGGCTTCTGCCTCCAAATATGACTGATGTCATGGAAAAGTTGGATCTTAAAAGATAGATTTGAAGAAAAGTTAAAGAGAAAATTATAGAAGCCAATCTACAATACCATCATCAGCACTACTCTTCTATTAACCCTCAATTAATTCCACGAGAATTCGCTCGGCCATACAATTGCAACTCACCAATGGATGGATCTTAAAAAAGTCTTCCTTCCCAATCTGCAATTGTGGACAAATTTTCACTATAAAGCTCTGTGACAGCCTTAATTTTTCCTAGGCTAGAAGTATTGCATTTGGAGCTACTAATCCTATGGACATGCTAAACTCAGATACAGAACCGAATATCAATACAATATATTGTTTTATTAAAACTATTGCGATAGGTACTTTTATAAATTAGAGCCGATAGCTTGTGTTGCTCAATGTCTTTTTCTTTTAATCTAAGAATTCATTTCATTTGTTTAAAATTATAATGATAATTATAATAACAATGATAATATTTTAAACAAATAATAGTAATAATATTTATTTATTTTAATTTTTTTAAAACTAACTGCATGATAATAATTTATTTCATTTAAAAGCGAACGGAGTCGGTCAAGCTAAAGGCAGCAAAACATTCGAACATACCCAGAGAGACACAAACGCACAATATTTGTAAAAATTTTCTGCGTCTTCACGCCATTCGTTATTGTTTTGCTTATTGAACGAAATTTACCAAAGACATGCAGACCGCCCCGAGGAATGATCTGTATTGGAACTTGCGAGGGAATATGTTTACATATTTTCCTTACTCAGCTGGTCATTAATGTATTTCCAATTTTTTTAAATATTTTATTTCGTTTGTTGTTTGTGCGTAATGTCAAAATCAATTAAGTAATGATTTCTATTTCAGAGTTATAATAATTTCTATTCTATAAACTCTTTCAGAGTTTCTTAACGGAAGACGGCATCGTATCGCTGGTAAATTTCTCGAAGTTGCAAGATTTGAGATGAAATAGTTAAACCTTGAAGATATAGTATTACTTTCTTTTCATCACTGCAGCCATTTAATCATTCTATAACAATGTGATGAAGGAATAAACGATTTCCAAAAAACCTGTAAAGGAAAAAGCTCATAATGTTGTTTTATTAAAATTCAAACGCATTTTTCTTATCAATTTTATTATTAAACAAATTATGAATTTTTGCTCAATCGACGCTTTTGCGAATATTTTACTAAAATCATGATGAAGAATATCTGCTGTGCTACTGGATAAATAAGTGAGTCAAGTGGTGTCCACAGGTCTTTTTTGAATTTAATGTTACACCAGTCACGTAATTTTAGGGACGCGGCCGAGTACAAGTGACATGAAGCTAAGCTCTCTGAATTTTTACCGAAGTAGATGATGGGGTGATGCCTTGATATATGCGACGATTTTTTTCCTATTGTTCAATTCTGACGTTTTATCCCAATTCCGCGTCTTAATGGCATTAATTATCGACCGTCGAAAGTGGAATTAATCGCCTTGGCGAATCGGAGCAACTGGCGACGCACAAATCCTTTCCAATTTTATCAAAAACAAAAGATTACCTTTTGTGATCTAAATCCAGGCTCGCGGCTCGGTGGTGCAGCATGCTGGTGATTCTGATAAAGCGTTTTCATCATAAACACCGCGGGCTTTTTACAACACCGCGAAACATTACCGCGTGGAATCACCTTCGACCAAGTTAACAATAATGCAAAAATGCTTTTTTCTTCGTTATCTCTGGAGTTTCACATCTAATGTTGGTTCTATTAGGGCTCGATAATGCCAATGTTAAACAGTAAAGTTACGTACGTGTAACATTTTCTGTTGGGACAAAATTTCCGAAGGTTTTTCATGATCTATGGCTACTTTGTATGAAAATGATCTCAATCTTACTCGACTAAAATAAACTAAATACATTCGATGTTCTACATATTCAATTCGCTCGAAACGTAGGACTTTCCTTTTCTTTCTGTTTTTCTCTAATTTCTCGCTATTTCTT